TAAAAAGAAATAAGTTAAAATAGAACCCAATGGGGAGCCCATCTCCACCCCGTGTTTCTTTCTGTTTGAGTCTTCGAGACAAAGTTTTGAACCCCCTTTTTGGGGATATTCTTTTTCATTCTCACTACTTATTTTGTACCTGAGAAAATTTTGGATCGTTTAGCTGTAGGATGGCAGTGTTGAGGTAGTTTTGTTCTTTTGATATGCTATTATTGTTGTCCAAAATTACTACAGAAATTATCATACTAAATTGTTGGAATATGATCTTTAACTGTACTTCAGCTGTGAAAGTTCTACAGTCTCTATAGGAGAATTCATTGTTTGGTTTCCTGCATTGAGACTTAAATGCTTGCACTTTAGCCTCCATAGTGTTGATAAAATAAAGGAGGCTCAACAAACTTGGCTTATACAAGCGAGGAATCCACAACCATAACAGTTTTTTATTTGATATAGCATGCACGGCTACGGAAGTGTTTGCTGAATAATGTATCTAGGGTTATTTTAACCATTCCCATAGGAAAGCAGTCACATGACTTTAAGCATCTATTTATATATTCCTGTTGCGCATCGTTTTACTTCTGTTGGTAGCACAATCTTTAAAATATCAGCAATGGGATCTGAATAACTTAGATGGCATTCTGCATAGGATCCATGAAGAAATTTACAGTAGTCACTTTCTCACTCTTTCTGCTCAGCACTTTTGGATTTCAGATCTTCTACCTTATTCTTCACTATAGTATATTCATGGGTGGATAAAATTATCTTAGCAGTTGACCTCCCTTATAACTTGTTCCATCTACTTAAATCTATCTGTCTAGAATTTGCTGTAGCGATTGCATACACTGAAAGAACAGTTGAAAATTTAGTGAGTAGGAACTAGGTTACTTGAAATATTTCGAGCCTGTTCTGCGTTTTTGTATGCCATCACCCTAATGCATCCATTAAAACTAAAGATAGCACTAGATATACCCAGCGAATTTTATCATTATGATGTTTAATAAGCCCATTAATTCTGGTGGAGCTACGTGGTTTGAGTTCACTAAGTGCTCAAGAGTTGATCTAGTAACTGCCTTGCATTGTCTTTTTGCTAACTATGCCAGATAATGTTCAGAGATGAGTTTGGAAAGTGTGCGCTTTGTGCGGCCAATATAACTAGCTGCACACGCGCAGGTGAATCTATAAACAGACACTGAAGTGTCTCAAAGCGGTAGTTTATGCTTCACACATTCATTGATCATTTGTCGTCTGTAGAAATTGATACATAGCTCAGCCGCAAAGAAGGCTTTCCTCAGTGATCTACATAGTCGATTCTTCAGGATCTCAGCTGCGGTGTCACCTTTAAATTCAACGCTCATAAATAGCAGATTGTTCGGCACCGTCTGGGTTCTTTCAGGCTTTTGCTTTAACTTCATGTTTTTCTCTATGAATCTTGAAGGATATCCATTTTTTGTGAGGACTTGTCTGAGTCTTTCCAGTTCCCTGTCGGTTGTATCACCGGCACATATCCTTCCAAACTCATCTCTGAACATTATCCGGCATGGTTAGCAAAAGGGTAGTGCAAAACCCATTAATTCTTGAAGCTTTTATGGAGGTTTTAACAAGGTCGATGGCACTGCATTAAAAAAAGTGTATATGCGTAAAATCTTAAATATTAAATCATTTGACAAGCGGCTAGATAATCATTCTGTGTTTTTTTATTTTCGACGAATGCAGGTCTCGCTATTGGATTCATTTCTGAGAGGAAAATCTGTGTAATATTCTGCTTCGATTTCCACTTTCTGTTCAGCTACATTTGTAATGAATGTTTTCCTGATATCCACATCATTGCATGCTAATAATTAGATTCACAATAAATAAATACACTAACTAATTAAAGCATAAGGAAATGAATTTAGGCTTAGAAAGGTATTCTTAAAGATGCAGTAACCTAGAATTATATATTAGAATATTAAATTCGAAACGAAAACAGTTCGTTTTCCCATTATTTTTATTTTGTTAAACTACTAGCATTTTCTATGTTTTTATGAAATGAGGTGTTTTATTTTTCTCTATAGTTTACGGAGACTTTAACACGCTCCATTTGTTAATTTTGATTAAGAATGCTCAAAATGTATTTAATTCAATCTAATATAAATAAATAGCTTTTCTTTCAGTTCAATTAACTGATGTTAATAGTGAACATTGAACTTAGTGAGTACGAAGCAAATAATGACTTCTTAACCAATAGTTGTATAAAACACTCGCTGACATGTTTCATACTAATGGTTTCTTGTGGAAAAGTCTTTGTATTTGCCTAAGAGGCTGAATTTCTTGTGTCAGTCAGTAAATTTAATATTTCTATCATTATATATTATTTTTTATAAATTGATTGAACACATCTTGTGATGAACTGTCTACTACGGTTGTAATGGGAAGCTTGCTTGTTTGAGTGAATGAAGGTGATTCCGACCTTGAACTGTCTGTAGGGGGTGTTGATGTGTGATTCTTGTGGACAGAGTTTCAATCCCACCTTCTTGGGAATATCCTACTTGATTCTCAGGTACTTCCTACAGTTGAATTTCGACTAACTAATTATGTTCTATGGAACTTGTTATGTACTGGAAAATTATCTAGCCTGTATAACCGCTGTCTAACAGCACTGTTGAGATAATTTTGAGATTTTGATGTTATTATTATTGTTGAATAGGATCACGCAGATCTATCGATGAATAATCATGTTTTTGCTGTATTTTGGGACTTTTGTGATTGTGCGTGTCTCATAGAAGTGTTGTCAGCTATGCTGTAAGATGCGGAGATCAGTTTCGTGCGTTCACAGCACAACTGTTCTGTTTGGGACATAACAAAGGTTGAAAGGTGATTTGTTCGTTCGAATATAATGTAAGACCTATGATTAAAGTGATTGTTTGAGAATCTTATTTTTCACTTACTAATAAATAGTTTTGACAGCTTGAATAAGTATAAGCTAAATAGTTAGTTGAATGTGTTGACCACTCAACAGCTAATGGACTTTGGATTGACACCCAGTAAGTGTGATAAAGACGCAAGCTTTGTTTTTCAGTCGCTAAGTCAAAAACTAGTGGGGCATGGTCTCTACCTTCTTCTAGGTAATGATGTGATATGATCCTGTCTCTATTTGCTCTTATAGATCAGTGATCGTCGTCATACAGGATATCATAGATTTCTCAACAGCATATCACTGGAGCTTGGAGGAGTCTATCTCAGGTTCATCTGCAGTGGATCATTACCAAGGTGTTAGATTTGCATGAAACCATTTCTTTAAATATCCATACTTCCCAGTAACAGTATGTCAGAAAATCTTTAAACACAAATCTGTTTTGAATCTGAACAATCTTGTCTGTGACTTGTTATGTGAGTCTGTCAAAATTTAATTTGATTTGGCCTCAAAATGATGAATAAAGCATTACACTTACGATTTAGTTTGTATCAACAGTATTGCTTACTCAAACAAAGGCAGAAATTCTTAAGTCACTTTACTTTTAACTGTAACTATCTATAGGAACGAAGATAGTGTTTAACTCCGGTTAAAGAAAATAACTTCAGATGTCTCAAACTGAGAAATACTCGATTAGTAGTACATATATATATATACATAGAGCTGTGAAATTTCAGGACATATGATCAAGACTATCAGCTGTTGTTCTGAGAATTAATATGCTTAAAACTTGAACACTTCGGTATTATGTAGTTCAATATTATTTTTTGTTTATTAGATATATCACACTGTGAACGGTATTATTTACCGGATGACAAAGTTTCCCATACAGTCGATTGTTCATAACTGTATTAGTTATAACTACATAACTTCGAAGCTTCCATTTTATAGTTTTCTGTATTCCTTCCTAATAATGACCACATGCATAAAAGGCATGCACAGAATAATGACAACACGAACAATAAGGGATTTAATTCCTCACTAGTACTTCCATACAAAGAAGGGACCTCGCAAAGCTTGCTGAGAATTCTCAAGAATAAATGGATAAAAGTGGCATTTAAGCCCACAAACTCAATTAAAAACAATCTCTGTTGGTTAAAGGATCCTGTGGAGCCAATTAGACAAAACATTTTAGTCTATCTAATACTCAGAAATGACTGTCAGGTAAAATATACAAACCAAAGTTGTAGATCGGGGTCAATCAGACTGGAGGAGCACAAATATCTAGCAAAATCTAGATTTTTTGGCCCTAATAAGTTGGGAAATCTGGAGAATAGCTCAGCTATAACACAATATGGAAATACACACAACCATACATTAGGACGTGATAATGTAACAAGGTGGAGGATCAGACTGACAACGAAAGATTTTTTTATCAAATCAACTGAAAATATGTGCAGTAGCAATGAATCAATACCTGTACCAGATATCTGGGAAGTTTTACTACCCCTTTGACAAATTTGAAGGAATAAATACAACTAAAAAAATGAAAGTTTCGAAGTTATGTGGCTATAACTGATATGATTATAAACAGTCAAGCGTACTATGATTGGACGCTAGTAACTAGTGTGATGTGTCTAGTCCTTACTTTGGTGCAGACTGAATTCTGCCAGTCAGGTTCGCAATGTGGTCATCATTCTAAGTAGCTCGCCGTCATGTTTACGCAGGTTCGAATCTCAGAAGGGACGTGAGTTCCTCTGAAGTTGCAGATACGCCATGCTGACTGGTGAGTGCCAACTAGCACGAAACCTAGGTTCACAAGGCTTCCTACCGATTGCCTCCAACCATCTAATACCACCACAATCAACCGTGTTTGAAACTATGCCGTCCAGTAAATAATACTGTTTCATTGTGTGATACATCTACCTATCTATCTAATAAACAAATTAATATAGAGGCGTTTTGAGAAGTTGTTGATTTTCATGAATACCATTTTAATGCCATTTATTTACCTAAATATATTTTATTAGCTAAAATATGGTAGCACATACAACTGAAACTCGCATATATCAGTAGAATAAAAGTAGTAAAATTAACAAGACATAAATTAAAGCCTTCATAATTCGAGATTTTGTATTAATTATTAAATTTTTTTTATAGGAGAATAACTGATATATGTATATTCTATTGAAAAATAACTGCCATTAAGATTGTATTAATATTTTATTTTTCTAATCAGTTTTATATGTATATATATCTTGTGCACATTATTTTTCAGTATCGATATTTTCATGTTCTACTATTGTTACTTTATGCAGTATGCAGTAACATCAACTGATTCCATGGCATTCTATTTTATTTCACACCATAGGGAATACTTCTTTTTTTCCAGCCAAGATCATCACGTTTCAGTCTGTAGGCTCTGTAAAACACTGATCTTGATGAAGGGTATAAAAATGGTGATGATGATGACGACATCGGTGACGATGATGACAATGATGATGACAGTGGTGATGATGATAATGGCGATACTGCTGAATGTTGCCTCATTATGGATTGTTTTATCAGGTTTTCAGTTAATTTCCGCAGAAGACTTCTTGAAGCGATCTGATCTTCGTGTTCATGTTGCTGTTGATGATGTTGTAGTCGGTGTTGATGATCACTTTCATGAAGATTATTCCAGTATTTACCATACCCAACTAGATGTGTTGCTGTATGATGAGGACCTTCATTGTGTTGTCCATCTTGTCTTGTAGGCATAACATCTTCATTCATCACATTATTATCTTCAATGTTTTCAAACAAATTAGGATGTATTAAATTGTTTGAATCAATGTAACTGTCGACATATTCTTCATGATTCAACCAGAATGTGTAAAAAAGAAAAGAAAAAATAGGCAAGTTAGTGAGAAATGTACAGATAATTCAGCAAATGCATTAAAATTAAATATGGATATTATCTATCTATTGGTGAGAAGGGGTGGAATAAACAGAAATAGGAAGAAACAAGTTCTCCCCGAAATTCCAATTTAAATCTTTGCTTAAAAAAGTAATTATTATTAAGAGATATTCGTACATATTAAATTCTTATCACTCGGATAATCAACTATAGAATTCTTCTACATTTTTAAGAGAAAATAATCTGAAGAAAAACAGAGTTATAAATATCTAAGGGGTTAAGTTGTTTTCTGAAAAAATGAAGACGATTACACTTAAAGATTCTGTTTCTCTGCGAGGAAAACCATCTTAATTCTAACTGAAAACTATGTCTGCAATGTTAATTTCCACTTTGAAATAAACAAAAAAAATAAACAATAATAAAAGTTTTAAATATTTTGCATAATGAGAGAGTCACGTTTTTACTCTGTGCATTGCCTGTTAATTCATGTGAGCATTTTTGTGATATAGTCTTTCTAAAGTTACTTACAAAGTGTTTTTCATACGAGAAAAGATGGAAATCTACACTGCTTTAGGCTGTTAGGCATTAATTTTTAGAAATTGAACTGTACAGCATCTCTTCAATACTAAGAAGTATCCGTGACTTTTTGTAGACTTTACATTTCTAAAGGGTAGTGTAAGTTCGTAGGAGGCAAAATACTCAAGACTTGAAAGTCATGATGTCGACTGGAAGAAACACTACGTCGTCAAGCTGCCAAAGAAGAGCGACTTAGGCTTGTGCAAGAACTGGTGTGGAATCACGACAAGTTAAAAATTTATTCACATCATCCTGGAGAGAATAAAAGATGCACTGGATACAGAACTCTACCCTCACGAACAAGCTGGATTCAGGAAAGGCAAATCATGTGCTGATCAAATTGCAATTCTACTCACAATCAACGAACAAGGCATAGAATGGCAGTCAAACCTCTGCTTCGACTTCGTTTATCGACTTTGAAAAGGCCTTCGACAGACAGCGTTGGCCGAGACGTGATTTTGAAGCTACTTCAACACTACGGCGTACCTCAAGTCTTCATCAACCTCATTCAACAGCTGGCTATATGATGATGCCGAGTGTCAGGAGATCCAAAACGGGAAACCCATCGAGTCGTTCGAAGTGTTTGAAGGAGTCAGACAAGGCCGGCTATTTATTATCACCGATGATATTCCTAAATGTGGTGCACTGGATAATGCGTCAGATAGTGGGGGGAGGAGTCACGAATACGCTGGACTACTGATAGGAAGACTCCAGAAGATCTTGATTTCGCATGTGGATGATATATGTCTAATGTCACACAAACTCGAAGACATAATGGCAGGCAAAAAGCAGCATACTGGCTGAAGATGCTGGTAGCAAAGATAGAACTCCAGGTGAACACAGAGAACATAGACGGAGGTGATGAAGATAACCAACCAACAGCAACAGCAACAGCAGCTGGTACCAATCACCATCAACGGGAGCGATTTGAAAGAGGTTACCTCCTTCGCTTATCTAGACAGCCAGCTTTGTTTCAACTACAGGCCGACAGCATGGGTCAAGATTTCAAAGTCAGCCAGCCAGAATAGGAAATACAAGATACGCCTTCATCAACCTGAAACCAGTTTGAAAATCTTCTGCTGTCACTCAGTCAGCATAAAGGACAAGATTCGGATTTTCAACACAAATGTGAAGTCAGTCAGTCAGTTCTTCTACACAGGTCAGAAACTAGCACTATGTATCAAGAATAGATTTTCCAACAGGTTACAAACTTTCATAAATAGCTGCCTCCTTCACTGACTCCATACTGAAGATCAAATGGCCTGCTGGCGATAGAGAATTAGTAGCAAGAAACGCTGCCTGGGAACACACCAACCAAGAGCCAATTGCCGAACAAATATGTAAGAGAAAATGGAGATTGATTGCGCATACAAGGAGTAATTCGTCGAATGACATCGGGTGCAATGCAGGCCATCGCTCAAGTGGAATCCCGATGGGAAGCGACAAGTGGGTCGTCAGTGTGAGGGTGAAATGGAAGTAATCGTGTCAGGAAGAGATGAGAGATTGTGGGCAATCGTTGAAATCGCAGAAAAAAGAAGAAAGTGGAGACGTGTACCACTTGGGATCCAAGGGAACAATAATAATAAAAGTCACTCTTAGATGACAATTCACAAAAAGAATTATTTTTATTTTCCTTGAAGATGCTTGTATTATTTGTGGAGGGTGAGCTTTAGTCACCCTGATATAAGAATTTGGGCACCACGGTTGAATATGATTTCCTTAATGACGTTGTTTGAACCCAGTAACCAGAAACAGACTTTTCGTGTGTCAGCGTATGGGTAGTATATATATATATATATATGTTCATGCTACCCACATGTTCAGGCTTAAGTAGCTGGAGAGTAATGAAGCACGATGGAGCGGCAACGCAAAATAGTGTAGTATTGCTTATTTACTCATGAAGGTTTTAGCACAATACATTGATTATACAATTTCTAGATCTCGTTAACGCCTGTCTTTTGTTTTTGTTCAGTTTTCAAATCACCGTTAATGGTGTAACATTATTATTATTACAACGTGAGCAGATTCAGTGAATGAAAATCCAGTGATCAAACTCTCCTTCCATTTAACTATATTAACTATATTAGAATTGCAGCTCTGTACCACCTTTTTATGTTATAGTGTTTGTGTGTACATTGAGCTTGTTAAGTTTTTCCCTAAGTTATTCATTTTTGAGTGTAAACCATTCTACATCTAGCTAAATTATGATATTCTCATAATCTAACTGATCCAAATCAACTGGAATGACCAACGCAATAAACTTCTCAGTCATTTCAAGGTATTTCTGTGAGCTTGCTTATTTTATCTAGTGCAGTCAATAGAATCTCATGGCCCAAAGAGTCTTTGACTCAGATGACATCCACAGTTATAAGAACTGCGGAAAGAAACTTAAAATTTGTTTGTGTGTCTTGATATGGTTATGACGAATAAATTATGGTTAAAACGTCATCATTAAGTGAATAATGCTGCATAAAAGTGTGCTATATTAAATAAAATTATTCCGTTATGGAACTAGCTACATTCACTGTGAAAAGCTGTACTAAGAATTAATAATTCACCCATATTTTCAAGTATTGGTTTTTTTTAGGGATTAAGTTTGATTGGTTGGAGGATTTCATTATGAGCAGCAGGTTGAAGGTGAGACAGTCACTTATCGAAGAAGATATTGTGAAGTGGTCGCTCTATGTAATGAATTGTCAAGAGTTAAAATTCATGGGCTGACCATTGGATCGGGTCCCAGTGGCTTAATGGTCTACGAGCTAGCTCGCTTTGTAACCAGAAGAAGGACCTGAGTTTGACCCCCCTGTGGTGGATGTGTACTGCTGAAGAGTCTCAATCTAGGATGAAACGGCTGTTCAGTACTTCCAGGTTTTCCAATGGTTCTGTAACTGATGTTAGCTCATGATGAAATCCTCCAACCAATTCACTCATATATTTAAGGATAAACATATTCTGTAATGTGCGTCGGTGGCATAGCGGTTGGGACGCTCGCCGACCATGCACATGGTCCGGGGTTCGATCCCCGGCCGACGCACTCCTCTGCCTCGCTAAACCAGAAATAAAGCTGATAAAGAGGAAAGGTTGTGAATGAGGCTAGTAACCCCATCCTGTAAAAATAAACACTGCTACAGAAATTTCAAGCCACCAGCTTGAAGCCCTATGTTCCACTGGGAACGTGAAGGAATAAAAAAATATGCTGTAAAAGTTAGGGTTACGTTCAGTTTTAGTGTCTATGTAAGTTCGAGAAATATCGTTTGACTGGCTGACATATGCACAACTCATTAAGGTTTCCTACGCCCTCCTAAGGAATTAAAAATTTTAATGACTGTCTCAATCGGTAGCTTATTATCTCTTAAACTGTTTTCATAATTGGCAAGCAGAGTGCCAGTTGATGTGACAGTCCTGCACTCTATTTGGTACAATTTAGTGACAACAGTTATTTTTATTTCCTGCCGACTGATTAGATTGGGCATTTCATTCTTAGCAATGGTCTAGTAGTTAAACCGTTAACGCTTGAGACGATGACTTCTAGGTGCGGATCTCAGTGGAAACAATATTACCCAATGAGTATGCAGATACATCCAATTACTAAGGCCCAAATATCACGGAATTCACACCTTGAAATCCACTGTTAGACACCAACACTCTCCTTTGACTGTTGCACAGCCACAGTAGTATCTGCTGAAGGAATAGTTGTTTGGGAGATCCCTGCTGAACGATCCAGTTACAACTAACTCTGTAATTATTTTTCTCCTTTCTTCTAGATTGTATATCATTGTTCTGACGTTTGCATATCACCCGCTGACTTATTCTTTATAATTTGTCTTTGTTCTTGTGTCACCTCTAATCTAAACTCTTCTCTTTGCGGTTGTGTGGTGGTATTGATAATGCATTGTTTTACGATTATGATTTTGTTTAAGTGAGGTGAAGGTTGACAGTGGAGATTTCAATCTTGAACTGCCAGTGGGAATTGTTTGGTGCATGGTTCTTGCCGGCAGAGTTTTAATCCCACATTTTTGAGAAAATTCTTCTTGATTCTCAGGTAATTCTTACGGTTTAGTAGGAAGTCATGGCCAGCGTGAGGATATATTTTCGCCAGTAACGCTGACTACTGGCTGCCAGAAGTTAGAATTCATGGGTCATTTAGTTCCTGCCAAAGTGGCTGAATAGTCAGTGAGCTTCCCCTGACACCTAGGGGTTTTGGGTTCGACCAATGTTAGGGTTGAGGATGAGTGCTGATGAAGAGTTTCAACCAACGACGAAATGGCCATCCTGTAATCCTTGGTAACCAGTGGTTCTCTAGGCGAAGTCAGTCTGTGATCAATGTTCTAATCAATCAAACCCCTGCAAACAAACAACTGATAATTGAAATAGGCTGAGCTAAAAAATAAATTCGTATCAAATCGATTGCCTAAAGTCATTAATATTATCCTTTCTAAAACGCTTTGATTGTTTTTTATAGATAGATGTTTTGGGAGAAGCACTTAGTGAATTAATAGTTTGATGTGATATTCCTTCTAATATAAACAATCTCATGTATGAAGTTGTTGATGCAGTGGATTAAACGGCTCGCATAACTCAGTGAAGGAAAGTTAGTTAGGTTAGTTTATTACCTTAGATCCATCTACCTAGAAATATCGTTATCTACCTTTTTTTCATTCCTTTGTATCTTGGGTACAGCGCAGGGATTCAGGCCTTAAGCTTTGAAGTTTCAGTAGTGCTTCCTTTACTGAAATTGGTGGGGTCGCTAGTCTCAAGTCCAGACTTCCCTTTTTACCGGCTTCCTAACGGCTAGGGTCTGTAAGCGGCTAATTCGACTTGGACCATGTTAATATCTGGAGTACTTTCTACTTTTGATCCAGTGACATGCGATCCACCAGGTCACTTAGGTCAAACCTAGTTTCATTAATTAAATGTTAACAAGCATTTAAGTGTAAGCAAAAATCACTTGTTTTATGAATTACCTGTATTACCACGAAATTCACTCAGAATAATACCAGGTAGAATTAATATATTTGCAATCAAGATAAGCAGATGTATTCTAGGCAAATATAACCTCATAATCTAAAAAGAAACTGAAAAGTAGACAAAAGAGAAAGCAATAGTTTTAGGCAAGTTTTCACTAGTATATATATTTATATTTATAACATAATTATTTCTTTAATGGTTCTTTTTTGTAAAGGGGCTTATGAACTGAAAGAAATGTACATGAATTCAAAAACAGTAATGTTTCTTGGATTATTTTACAGATTAGAATTCTGGTTTGGGATTCAGAAAGCGATGTAATCTCTAAAACAAATATACACTCAACACCAGCACTATACAAGCCTGGAATGATTTAGCAAGGAAAGAAAAATCGGTCACAGGATTTTATCATGAGCTGACATGAGTTAGAGAACCATTGGAAAGCCTGGGAGTACTGGACAGCTGTTTTCATCTTAGTTTTGGGACGCTTCATCTGTACACGACCACCCGGGGTCGAACCCAGGACCTTCTGGTTACGAGCCAAGCTAGCTCGTAGATCGTTGAGCCACTGGGACCCGATCCAATGGCCCATGAATTCTAACTTCTGCCAATGGTCTACGAGCTCGCCTTGTAACCAGAAAGTGCTGGGTTCGAACCCCGGTAGGCGTGTACAGATTAAGAGTCCCGAAACTAGAGTGAAAACAGCTGTACAGTACTCCCAGGTTTTCCAGTGGTTCTCTTACCCTTGTCAGCTCATGATGAAATCCTGTGACCAATCAGTCAAAATCCCTACAAACCAATACCTGTAAAAAAGGTCAAAAAGTGACCTCATGAAGGACCTATTCTGTGGTGGTTATGTTTTATGAAAACAAAAATCAGTTATATTTCAGTTTTTGTTTTTTTCCTTCACGTTCCCAGTGAAACATAGGGCTTCAGTCTACAGCTTTGAAGTTTCGCTAGCAGTGGTGTTTAATTTTGAGGAATGGGACTGCTAGTCTTCCCTCTTTACCAGTCATATTATTGGCTTAGCGGGGTAAAGGAGTGCGTTGGTCGAGAACCGAACTCCAAAACACCTCCAAGATTGGCGAGTATTCCACCCCTGTGTCACCGACGCACACCATGTTTCAATGGCTAAACGACAAATATCTGGCTCTAGTGAATACTAATAGTAATAACAGTAATAGCTTTACTCTGAAAAATGCTTTTATGCACGATATGGAATTTCCAATGTGTTTTATTGCAAACTATTTGCTCTTTTTGCAAGATCTTCAATTCATTTAACATTCAATAATACATCATTTGAAACAATACTGTTGTATCTAAAGTATGCTGCAATACTCCACAATGGATTTCTTTTGTTTTACTTAATGCATAGTAATAGGTTTCAACCTGAAATCTATTTGAAAATATGGGTGGAAGTTGACTGAAATTCGTTGATAATGTGAAATGCAGTAGATATAATTCATTTTGATGGTTGCAAGACAAAAACGAAATCTCTGTTCAGTAATCTCTGTTTTTCATTGGTTCTTCAGCTGAATTCACTTCGTAATCCATGATGAAATCAAACGAATCTTCGCCTAGCTAAAATAACGTGAAATGCAGAAGATATAATGCATTATGCTGGTTGCCCAGCGATTTAAGCCAGCTGCCGGTTAGTCAGAACGAATATGATATTCGATTATGATCGAATTTGGAGTAAAAAAGCTGTTATTCAGTAGTTTGTATTTGGTGATTCAGTGCATCTTGTTACTCTTTATTATAACATACATCTATAGAAATCTTATCAGATGACCTGATACGAAGAGATGACATATCGTGTTTACTGCACAGGGTAAACCGGTTGTATCGCGAACTTCAAGTCGTTATACACATACATACGTTGATAAACTGAAACACAATGAATTACATCATTTAAACTCCGGGTTTTTAAAACTCCAAGGTATTCATTGCTAACATGTATCACCTTACAAGTAGTGTTATGTATTGAAGGAACCTGATTTAAATTTTTTTTCTATTGAGAGTACCTCCTTTGCGTAAACTTACAAATAATTAAAACGTGTTTACCATGAACAAAAAAGTGTGTTTTTAGTTGCCTACTAATGTTTTGCTAGAATTTTGCTCAAATTGTAATCAATACAAATCACGAATAAGACTACAAAAATTCTCAAACGAAGTATGACGAAGAGAAAATCGAAGAAAGGTATGCGGCTAAAGTGTTCAGAAGATAAACAGTGATAAAAAGTCACAGTTTCTCTTGACGATCATCTGATAGGTGAATAACAAGGAGTAATATATATGTATATATAACTGTAACAAGAAATTAAGAAACTTCTTACTTGGTGTTGGGCTAGCAAGGTTCCTAATGCCTGAATTTTGTTAATATATGAATTATACTAAAACACGGAATAATTCTGCCAGAAATATCTATAAGATCAGAAAATATTCAGTGATTATGATACTTTTGGTATTAAATGGTTGAAGGCGATTGGCAGGATGCTTTTGGCCTAGGTTTTGTGCTAGTTGGCACTCGTCAGCAAGGCGTACCTGCAACCCTGTAGGAACTCATGTCTCTTCTGAGATTCGAACCCATACATATCCCATACATATGTATATTACTTGAAAATATGCATAATAATTAGCAGACAATTTTTAAAACCAACTGCATACGAAACTAGCGAATTCTTTTAAGCTGACAACCATCTCTCAAGTCATGAAAAACATCACTAGTTTTTAGGATAACCTAATCCACAGTAAAAATCACGAATAAGGAAGAAGTACAGTTTTAAAGGTAGCCCATAGAAAATTAGATACTCTCTAAGGGATCACAAACACTGATCTGTTATGTTTAATTTGTTCACGGCATTAAAATCTGTGGATGGCTGATAGCCTACTTTAGACTGTAAATCAAATCCACTCATTGCAAATTAGTTAGCAATTTGCAATGAACACAGTTCGACGCGCGATTATTTCTCTATGGTTTCCCATGGCAACCAAATTATTCAGAACACAGTATGTGATCTGGTGAATACCATGAGTGGTAATCAAGAAAGCAAGCATACTTGCATAAAACCGTATACTACTGATTGATTGAGATGAGTAGTTGTATTCGTTGCCACATCAAACAGTAGGGCTACCTAGCCAGATCCGCTATCTTAGCTAAGTCAAACTGGGTACAATGCTGATTAGCTCAACCTCAGATGAGCGAAATGTTGTTTAAATCACTTCAATTGGTCTAGCTAGCACTTATGGTTGATATATGTGTGATACAACTACTCAAGTCACTCAGTCGATAGTATGTGGTCTTATACGGAATTATGACTACTTAATAGTGTTATAGTAGTTAGTTTCTATGAGGTGTAAAATACATTGTGCCAAATTTACTATTCATGGTTTTTCCACTCGTATGCACATAATGGATCAGAAAGCATGTAGAATTTCATTTGTATAGAAATTGTATTCAGGATTTATTCACCACATTTTTACTAATGCCACTATTCGGTCATATTGGTATTTAATTTCTTTCGGAGGTTGGTGTTGGGCGCTAAGGCTTGTTTTATGAGAAAGACATCTACTTTTAGGTTGCTTAAATTTAAAGGCTAATGTGATTCCTTTTCAAAACTAACATATTTGCGTTTTAAGTGAAGGTGACCTTTTGAAATTTGTGAGTTTCAAGCTTTACTTCAAATCACTGAAACCTCGAATAAAGAAAAACTGAAGACTCTCCAGTCTCAAAGCTGTCATAAACTTTTCAGTGTATTTGTAAAATAATGTCCAATGCATAGTTTGTTCAGTGTCAGTACTAAAATTTTTTATTTCACAGAGAGTTTTCATAAAATGAGTAAAGATTTGATATCCCTCATGGTGTTATTCTTTCTTCTTACATGACTAGCCTCATGTTAATGGAGCCAATTTTGTTAAGCATGCCAATGATGTAACTGTTTCCCTACCTGTAACTTCCTACTCAGTATGTTTAAAAAATAGATAGCTTTTTACAATATCTTGATAATTTCTAGAATTATACTTCCTTCAGACTTCTACGTAAAGAACCTACGACAGTATGGTATCACTCAGCCTCTTCTCTCACAGATTGTTAGTTCATACATCCTACAAATCCTTCGTTATTGCTCCCTCTCTTGATCTTTTCTTGACTACTTAAGAGAGACTTTTTATTTGGCGAAGGACACTAAAATCTATCTGAACAGGGGTGTCGTTAAACCGACTTGTTAACAGTGTTGTAGATGGACACTTGAACTCATGCAAGAAGTTGGTAAATATCACTTTGTCGGACTCTGAGGACCCTCTTCAAACATAACTTCCCTTTTACCTCTCATTACGTAGGACTAGAAGGAATTAAAAAAGACTCTGTGGTCAGACAATTAAATATAAAATCTCCACGATACCTTCTTTAGTACGCACTTTATGCAATGGAGAAAGTGTTAGATATGTAACCAAGAACTTACTGAGAAACAGTAAGTCAGTAGCTCTAAATTTCTTCTTGTTGTTGTCGCTATCTCTATTTAATTTTAAATTTATATTCCTACCTTTGCTGAAATTACAATGAAGCGTATATTCCCCATTAATTATTTCCCTTCTTACTGTGTAGATGTAAGGAGAAAATGAGATGGAGTATTGTCATGCATTCTGAGAATTCCACATTGTATTAGATATACTGTGTATTAGATATACTGTTCAGTTGGGTCCACTATTGCCCATAATCTATCATCTCTTCCTCAGATGATCTCCTCCACTTCACCCTCATACTGACGACAAACTCGTCTCTTCCCATCAGGACTCCATTCGAGCGATGGCCTGCATTGTACCCGTATGTCATTTGACGATTTCCTCCTTGTATGACCTATCCATCTCCATTTTCTCCCACATATTTGTTGAGCAACTGGCTCTTGGTTGGTTTGCTCCCAGCCACAGTTTCTTGTTACTAATTCTTTCTGGCTGGTCAACTGATCTTCAGTATGGAGCCATTGAAGGCAGCCGGCTATTTATGAAACACTGTAACCTGTTGGAAATTCTTTTCGTAACATGCACTGCAGGTTTGTAACCCCAACTACTTAAGCATTCCTAACTGTCACTATTCTGTGCACTAAATTACTCC